AGCAAGCGATGCGAACGCATCCTGATATCGGCTTGATGATCGCAAGTTGCATCAAGTCTGCAGCAGACCTGCTGCAACTTGCTCGTTTCTGGCTGTGTAGTAACTTGCCGAGCATGCGCACAAAAAAAGTGGGTACACTAGTTACGTCTCTGTATGTCTCTACTCTGTGGTGCTAATAATATGTGACTTGTTTACTGCGCACGCTCTTTTTATGTACAAAAGTGTCGTGATCTGTTGGCTCGCGTCATTTGAAATTTAATTAAACGGCACATGCACCACGTCATTTCAAACGTAGTGAAGTGATTCCAATTAACGCGCGCGCATCCAAGACAAGAGAAATTAATTTTGCACATTAAAGAGAGCACGCCACGTACTACACAGCCAGAAACGCGCAAGTCGGAACAGATCTGCAACAGATCTGTTAAATCCTGTTGTCAACAAGCCGATATCTGGATGCGTTCGCTCGCCTTGTACCTGTCTGTTCTGACAGACCTGCAACGGCCTGTCAACAGGTCTGTTACAAGCTGTTGTGACAGAGCTGCTGCAATGCTGTTTTCAACAGGTCTGTTACAAGCTGTTGTGACAGAGCTGCTGCAATGCTGTTTTCAACAGGTCTGTTAAAAGCTGCTGTGACAGAGCTGCAGCAATGCTGTTTTCAACAACTTGCGACAGACCTGTTGCAAACCGAGGAAAGCGTCTTATGAAGCTTTGTATCCACTATTTTGAACAAAAAACGGCCAAACAGGTTGCCATATTTCGGTTGTAGTGTTTCGTGAAATAGAAGTTTGAAATATAAAGTTTTATAAACAAACTTGCGAGATAATTTTTATATATGAATATAAAGTTTTATAAACAAACTTGCGAGATAATTTTTATATATGAATATAAAGTTTTATAAACAAACTTGCGAGATAATTTTTGAGCAAAACAGCCGAAAAAATACGACAAATTCAAGAAAGGTTCTTATCGTAAACAATTTTCAAAATTAATTGTCTTTAAGTACGACCGAAATATGACAACCTACTTGCATATTTTTCTTCAAAACAGTACATACCATAAACACAAAGCTTCAATAAGGCGTCTTCCTCGCTCGCAGATTTCACTTGAAATTGGAAAGAAATTATATAACGAATTTCATGTTCATATCAACAATGACGAACGTTGCAGTGAACACTCGGTTGTTCATGTATTGTTCATTTCTTAAGCTCTAGATCTTTGTATTCTCATTGCCACAGTTTCTTCAAAAATCAAAACAGCTTTGAACTTGTTTGATTTTGTTTGAGGCAGTTGTTGAAATTTTGTTGAAAAACAACTAAACATGATTATGTGATTGATATGTTTGTAATATTTCGCCCAATTGCAACGAGGAATAATGACGTGTGCACACGCGTTTATCCAATCAGATTAAGGAAATATAGCGATAGCACACGTCAGCAAATTGGAATTTGGATTTTGGAAATCGGAACTTTTTAAAAAAAAATAAAACAGCGGCTTTTGCATTTTATAATAATCAGAGAATAGATACTATGGACTATAATCTCTCCTATGTGATTTAATATTGCCACCAATGACAATGATTAAATGAGAAAGTGAGGCCGGAAGTGTCCATTTCGTACGATTTTATATCTCTTTACTCACACTTTCGGTTTGTTTCCCAACAACAGGCTTGTTGAAACTTGTTGTGACAGGACAAAAATTGTTTGTTGTGGACAGGTTTGTCGTAGGTCTGATAACAAGCTTGCTGCAGACTTGACAAAAACAACTCGCGACAGGTCTGTTGGAACAGGTTGTAACAGACCTGTTGATTTCAACAGACTTGCTGCAAGTTGTTCTATCAGACCTGCTATCTCTTGTTAGTAACAGGCTTGTAGCGAGTCGTTTCAACAAGTCGCTACGGCTCTGTTGTCAACAGCTTGCGACAGACCTGTTACCGCAAGCCTGTTACCGCCTGACGAAACCAACAGACCTGTCGCGACTTGTTGACAAGTTGCCGCAAGCCGGTAAAATCAACAGCTTGCAACAGGCCTGTGAGATTTCTGGCTGTGTATCTAGTGGCTTTCCCTCCTGATCTATAGTATTGTGCTTCTCGATTTCAATTGACTCTCTCGTTTTGCGAGAGAACTTATAACTATCATTATCAATCGCCAAAATGGTTGCATCGTCCCATTTTATACGATGGTCGTAAGTCCAAGTATGTTTAGCCACAGCAGATTTATCTTGCTCGGCTTTCTCGCAATTCGTAAATCTGCTGTGGCTAAACATACTTGTACTTACGACAATTGTATAAAATGGGACGATGCAACCATTTTGGCGATTGATAGTCATAAGTTCTCTCGCAAAATGAGAGAGTCAATTGAAATCGAGAAGAACAATACTATTGATCAAAAGGGAAAGCCACTAGATAGTACGTGGCGTGCTCTCTTTAATGTGCAAAATTAATTTCTCTTGTCTTGAACACAGAATAGGAAGTTATACCAGAAGCGTAACTCGAGCAAATATTTGTCCGCGTTTTTACAAGCGATTCGTCATCAATCACGCCATCCTGGCTAGTACAACCGGCACTTTGTACCTACCAAATCCTGATAAAAACTTCCGGCTGTACTAGCCAGGATGGCGTGGCCTGACGTGGGCGAGTTAAAATTTTCGTGGACGTCAAACAATAAGGGAAACGACTAGAGTTACGCTTCTGGTATAACTTCCTATTCTGTGTCTTGGATGCGCGCGCGTTAATTGGAATCACTTCACTACGTTTGAAATGACGTGGTTGATGTGCCGTTTAATTAAATTTCAAATGACGCGAGCCAACAGATCACGACACTTTTGTATATAAAAAGAGCGTGTGAATTAAACAAGTCGCATATTATAACAGTTTTGTTTGTGGAAACACCACGTAAATTTATTACTGCATAATAAATAGTAAGTAATAGTAATATTTATTACTGTATTAATAATAGTTATATTTTATCGCCATGCAAACATACAAAGAACTTATTAAGTCACATATTATTAGCACTGATGAAGATCTTACGGATCAAAAGCTTTGCGGTAATAAATTTACGTGGTGTTTCCACAAACAAAACTATTATAATAGATAATTTAATTAAAATTCCGATCTGTGGGCCCACAAGTTAGCTCATTACGCATTTAGAATATATCACGAAGGAGAAATTGTACTACTAAAGCAAAAATTTAGCCCCAAAACAACAAATTTTAAATCGAAAACACTAGGAAGCACTTCTTACAGAGGTATCGACAAAATTGATTGAAATTTGTACACATTTAGCTCGTACCTTTGTATAAAGATGTGCTTGTTAACGGCCGTTAACATTTTCAATCTTAAATTCGTCATTTTGAAGCTAAACGTGTACAAATTTCAATCAAATTTTGTCCATACCTCTGTAAGAAGTGCTTCTTAGCGTTTTCGATTTAAAATTTGTTGTTTTGGGGGCTAAATTTTTGCTTTAGTAGTTCAATAGCCCGCATGCAGGCCCAAGGGAAGAATAGTGGGCCTGCAAGCAAGGCCCGGTATTTTGTAAAACGCCCCTTTTCATAACACGCCCCATTCGCGCGTCAATTGTAAAAAAAGAACCAATGACAGCACCCAAATATTTTAAACAAACAAACTCGCATTAAAATGTTGCGGGGTTTTCTCTGCTTTAATATTCAAAAAAGAAATAATGTGTAATTGGTTGCACCAATCAGATCAGTTTGTTACAGATTTTTCCACTCAGTTGTTACATAATTCCACACTGCTGTTTGAAATCATCTGCACTGAAGTCAACCAATCGCAGTCGAGTAACATTTTTATGTATATTACTAGTAAGGTAATAAATAGGACAATTATATTATGCACTAAATCGAACGATACCTGGGCGCTCGGAAATACGAAATTCATTCCTCGTGTTGACAAAGATTCTGGTCAACACTCGAAATCAATTTCATATTTCCACCATCCATGTACACTCTAAAAACGCCCTGGTTAAAAATTCTTGGTTAATCTAAAATTAACCTTGTTTGGGTAACTTAATGTTCCTGGTTACATTTTCTGGTGAATTGAACTATGTATAATGCTAGTTAATTTGATCTTAGTCCTGGTTAATTTAACCAGGTTATATGCATGGTCAAATTAACGATATTACATGTTTCGTGGATTTTTAACCAAAAATTCCTCGTTAATAATCCACTTTAACATCGTCTGATTAATTCTCATGTAACCAGGCTATACGGTTGATCCTGGTTAAATTAGCCACGATAGTGATCAATTTAATTAACGATGGCTGAGGTTAAATTAACCAGGAAATTTATCCAGGAACATCACGTTTCCCCAAACGATGTTAATTTTAGACTAACAATTACAATTCTAATCTGGATGTTAAGATGTTTTTGCGTGTATTATTCTTTACATATTTGGTAACTGTGTACATACCTTGAACTTCGTCTGGAATATAAAATCTCTTCAGCACATGTTGAACGCAAGAAGCTGAAACTGCCGCTCCAAATTGGCGCCAAGTCGAGTTTTGACTTTCATCATTTGCCCATTTTGCGATAGATTTACATGACAGCCACGGTACACCAGAGTTCTGACAAGTTCCATATACACCTTAAAACGATAAAATTGAGTAATTCTGTGTTTGAATAAATTAGACCATATAGGCTCAGTACAAAAAGATTATTTTAATTAATCACTACGTTTCGGAGTATAACTCCATCTTCAGGTTAAAAAGTAACTAAAGATATAAAACTTTAAAAACAAATGAATTTGTTTTTAAAGTTTTATATCTTTAGTTACTTTTTAACCTGAAGATGGAGTTATACTCCGAAACGTAGTGATTAAAATAATCTTTTTGTACTGAGCCTATATGGTCTAATTTATTCAAACACAGAATTACTAAAATGCGGCTTAGAGAAAGTTCCGTCATACAAGATTTGATAAAATTGAGGTTATTGTTGACGTTTTTAGGGAACCATTGGAGCTCGAAGACTTTAATTTCATGTCATACACACAAGAGCTTTTGCACGAAGGTGACATGTTTCTGTTAACTTTCTGACGAGCTTTAGCTTTCCACGAGGCTCTGGTTAGAGCCTCTAATCGGTCATCAGTAACTTGCAGATTCGATCCCTGTCTGGGCACTGGCATCGCAAGCCCACAGGTTGTTGGAATGCCAGCCATCTTGAATATTTGAATATATAATTTGAATCGTGTTATTAGATAGCTTAAGATCTACGACGTCGACGTCAGCTAGGACGTCAGGACTAAGAAGAGGACTGGGACTACATTAGGAAGACATCCTAATCCCAGTCCTGCATAGCCCTGACGTCCTAGCTGACGTCGACGTCGTAGATCTTAAGCTATCTAATAACGCGTGTTTGGCAAATTATTTATAATTATAGCGCGAGTGCGTAGCAGGAGAGTAATTTCAATATTGAGAGTAATTTCTGACATTAATTTTCAATTCATACCAATAAAAATAGGTACGCAGTGCGTACATGTTGCATGCCATCAAAAGCTAGCGTGAAAACCATAGATATAGGAGATCTAGATTGCTAACGCATACCTAGCGCAGGCGGGGCCTACATGATAAATCCAAGATAGCGGTACAACAGGGCAAAAATACTATAGATTCTATTATGAAAATCAGGATTTTTGCCTTTTTTGCCGTCGCATTGTTTTGAAACTTATTCGGTCAAATTTTATGGTAAAGAGAAACTCACCGCGAGGATTTTGAGCATATATATGATTGAATAGGATGAAAAATCGCAAAATTATCCAGCCATAAAAGTTCGTGTGAAATGGTCAGTATACTGTTGGTCAGTTGGAGCGTTTTATTGCCAGAAATACTGTGCTATGTTAACATCTAGCCTTGTGAATGGTGTTTTATACTTGCATCTCTCATCATCATCTGCTCTGTCCTCATAATTATGAAAAATGAACTGTTATGTACCCCCCCCCCCTTGCTTGTTAGAGAAGTAAACTGATGAGAGCACTGGATGAGGGTCTATCATCTATGGTCTGTTATAATTTGCTTTTTATGCAAATAGTGAGCAAAAATTAAAGCAAAACTGTACAAGTTACATATATAGTACTATATCAGTACTTAAAAATGATGATGAGAGATGCAAGTATAAAACACCATTCACAAGGCTAGATGTTAACATAGCACAGTATTTCTGGCAATAAAACGCTCCAACTGACCAACTGACCATTTCACAC